TCCCTCCAGCGTGTCCTGGGTCTTCGTCTGGGCCTCCTTCCGGTGGGACGTGTCCGAAACACCTCACCAGGGAGGCGTCCAGAAGGCATCCTAAACAGATGCCCAAGCCACCCCGGCTCCTCTCGACGTGGAGAAGCAGCGGCTCTACTCTGAGTCCCTCCCGGATGATCAAGCTTCTCACCCTAGCTCTAAGGGAGAGCCTAGACACCCTGCAGAGGAAACTAATTTCGGCCGCTTGTATCCGAGATCTCATTCTTTCGGTCACAACCCAAAGCTCGTGACCATAGATGTGGGTAGAAACGTAGATCGATCGGCAAATTGAGATCTTCGCCTTTTGACTCAGCTCTCTCTTCACCACGACAGACCTGTACAGCGCCTGCTTAACTGCAGACGCTGCACCTATCCGCCTATCGATCTCACGCCCCATTTTTCCCTCATTCGTGAACAAGACCCCAAGATACTTAAACTCCTCTACTTGGGTTAGGACCTCCTCCCTGACCCGGAGAGTTCACGCTACCCTTTTCCGACTCAAGACCATGGCCTCGGATTTGGAGGAACTGATCATCATCCCGGCCGCGTCGCATTCGGCTGTGAACCGCTCCAACAAAAGCTGTAGATCACGATCTGATGAAGCCAATAAGACCACATCATCTGCAAAAAGCAGAGACGCAATCCTAAGGCCACCAAAGCGGATCCCCTCAACACCTTGACTGCGCCTAGAAATTCTGTCCATAAAAGTTATGAACAGAATCGGTGAAAAAGGGCAACCTTGGCAGAGTCCAACTCTCAATGGGAACAAGCCCGACTTACTGCCGGCGATGCGGACCAGGCTCTGACATCGGTCATACAGGGACCTAACAGCTCATATCAAAGGGCCCGGTACTCCATACTCCCAGAGTACCCCCCACAGGGTTCCCCGAGGGACACGGTCGAACGCCTTCTCCAAGTCCACAAAGCACATGTAGACCGGTTGGGCAAACTCCCACGCACCCTCCAGGACCCTGCTGAGAGTGTAGAGCTGGTCCAGTGTTCCACAGCCAGGACGAAAACCACACTGCTCCTCCTGAATCCGAGGTTCGACTATCCGACGGACGCTCCTCTCCAGAACCCCCGAATAGACCTTACCAGGGAGGCTTAAGAGCGTGATTCCCCTGTAGTTGGAACACACTCTACAGTCCCCGTTTTTGAATAGGGGGACCACCACCCCGGTTTGCCAATCCAGGGGAATTTCCCCGATGTCCACGCAATATTGCAGAGTCACGTAAGCCAACACAACCCTACAACATCCAAAGCCTTAAGGAAATCCGGGCGAATCTCATCCATCCCTGGGGCCCTGCCACCGAGGAGCTTTTAAACCACCTCGGTGACCTCAGCACCAGAGATTGGAGGGCCCGACCCAGAGTCCTCAGGCTCTGCTTCCTCAGTGGAAGATGTGCCGGTGGGATTGAGGAGGTCTTCAAAGTATTCCGCCCACCGACACACAACATCCCGAGTTGAGGTCAGCAGCACACCTCTCCCACTATAAACAGTGTTGGTGGTGTACCGCTTTCCCCCCCTGAGACGCCGGATGGTGGACCAGAATCGCCTTGAAGCAGTGCGGAAGTCATTCTTCATGGCCTCTCCGAACTCCTCCCATGCCCGAGTTTTTGCCTCAGCGACCACCCGAGCCGCATGTTGCTTGGACTGCCGGTACCCATCAGCTGCTTCCGGGGTCCCACAGGCCAAAAAGGCCCAATAGGACTCCTTTTTCAGCCTGACAGCATCCCTCACCGACGGTGTCCACCATCGGGTTCGAGGGTTGCCGCCGCGATAGGCATGACAACCTTGCGGCCGCAGCTCCGGTAAGCCGCCTCGACAATAGATGCACGAAACATGGTCCACTCAGACTCAATGTCCCCCACCTCACTCGGAAGATCTTCGAAGTTCTCCCGGAGGTGGGAGTTAAAACTCCGTCTCACAGGAGACTCTGCTAGATGTTCCCAGCAAACCCTCACAATACATTTGGGTCTGCCAGGTCTGACCGGCATCCTCACCCACCATCGGAGCCAACTCACCACCAGGTAGTGATCAGTGGACAGCTCCGCCCCTCTCTTCACCCGAGTGTACAAGACATGTGGCTGCAGATCAGATGAGACGATGACAAAGTCGATCATCGAACTGCGGCCTAGGGTGTCCTGGTGCCAAGAGCACATATGGACACCCTTATGCTTGAACAAGGTGTTAGTTATTGACAATCCATGACGAGCACAGAAATCCAACAACAAAACACCACACTGGTTCAGATCAGGGGGGCCGTTCCTCCCAACCACACCCCTCCAGGTCTCACTGTCATTGCCCACATGAGCATTGAAGTCCCCCAGCAGAACAAGGGAGTCCCTAGGAGGTTCACTTTCCAGTACCCCCTCCAAGGACTCCAAAAAGGGTGGATAATCTGAACTGCCGTTTGGTACAAAAGCACAAACGACAGTCAGAACCCATCCCCCCACACGTAGACGGAGGGAGGCCACCCTCTCATTCACCGTGGTGAACCCCAACACACAGGCACCAAGTTGTGGGGCAATAAGTATGCCCACTCCTGCTCGGCGCCTCTCACCAGGGGCAACCTCCAGAGTGGAAGAGTGTCCAGCCCCTCTCAAGGAAACTGGTTCCAGAGCCAGAGCCATGCGTATAGGTGAGTCTGACTATTTCTAGCCGGAACCTCTCAACCTCACACACCAGCTCAGGCTCCTTCCCCACCAGTGAGGTGACATTCCACATCCCAATAGCCAGCTTCTGTAGCCGAGGATCAGACTGCCAGGGTCCCTGCCCTCGGCCACCACCCATCCCACATTTCACCCGACCCCTTTGGCCCCTCCCACAGGTGGTGAGCCCATGGGAAGGGGGACCCACGTCTCCTCTTTGGGCTGTGCCCGGCCGAGCTCCATGGGTAAAAGCCCAGCCACCAGGCGCTCGCACGCATGCCCCACCTCCAGGCCTGGCTCCAGAGTGTGGCCCCGGTGACCCACGTCCAGGCAAGGGAACATTAGGTCCGTTTATTTCTCTCATCATCGGGGTCTTTGGGCTGCACTTTGTCTGGGCCCTCACCTAGGACCTGTCTGCCATGGGTGACTCTACTAGGGGCATAATGCCCCTGACAGCATAGCTCCTAGGATCATTGGGACACTCAAACCCCTCCACCACGGTAAGGTGGCAGCCCAGGGAGGGGATCTGGTATTTAGGAATGACTGAAATAAAAATTGTGGAGTTTATCATTTAATATAAAAAAGGCAGGGAGGTTAAAATAAATTAATGCATTAACAGCTGTAGCAGAAGGCAATTAAATTGTGTTCAGACAACACTTTTGCTTCTTGACTCGCTCATCTTCATTCAAGAGTCTCATTTTATTTCTGACATCTTTTAAACTGTACAGCTTACACACTCAGTGTCTCCTTCACTCTTTTTCAGTCTCATTGCTTTACTTGTACCTTTGTCTGTTAAGATAATGGGGACGAGGACGGGAGCATTTATTGTCTTATGGCTTGACTCAACATTAGCTATTCTTCTTCTTTCAGCTTTTCCCTCTTCAGGAGTCTCCACAGTGATTCATCCTCCTCCATCTCACTCTGTCCTCTGTGTCCTCTGTCCTCACTCCAACTACCTCCATGTCCTCTCTAACTGCATCCATATGTCTCCTCTTTGGCCTTCCTAAACAACAACTTTAGCCGTTAGCTTGGAGAAACAGTTGCATTTGCCAACGGCATGAGAGCGCGGCCCCGTGAGGAGGAAATGCTTAGAATCACTCATAATATCAATACAGCAGTGTTTAATTTGAGCTGGATCCAGCTGGAAAAAGATTTGGGAACGCTCTTATTTTGACATGATGCTTTCCAGCAACTGCTTGCTCGGATCCGGCAACTCTCAGGTTTACTAATAATAAAGTTATGAACAACTATGATTGTCTTGTCGTTT